AATAACACCAAGAACCTGACAAGCCTTTCACATCCCAGGGCGTCACATTTGGACGCTTGGTCAAGACCCTTGGCGTCGCATTTAATCGCCTGGGTACCCTTTAGCGTCGGTTTGTAAAAGACGGTCAAGCTAGCAAGAATAAATACGTCCAGTCAGACTTTCATAATAAAACTAGTGGTAACATCGTGAAACATTGCAGTTTGATTAGGTTTAGGAAAAGATTACAGTTCGGGTTAAAATTAGTACGTTACTTGACTTAAATTACTTAAGTTACGTAACATCAATAAAAGGAATCAAAGTTGACTTTTTGTAGGACATGGGAAACAAAACACCAGTCTCCTGGGTGAAAGTCTGTTTTTTGCCCCAGCCATCCACCTCCTTACTGTGACTTTACTGTTAGTGGCACTTTAGGGCTTCCCCCAGTGCGTTGAAGTGCTTAAAGGACGCCATGTGCGTTGGTACAACACATTCTCACTCCCAACTTGTCACATATGGAGGTTTGGTCAACACCTCTTGGTGTTGCTTTGCAACATTTAGAACTTCGCGCTCAAGTAAGCGACAACAAATAAGCCACCTCCGGTTAGACTTTCAAAATAAAAGTACTCCTTAACATTGCGAAACATCGCCATTTTGAAACGGCACGTTGTTAACGTTGTGCACAGACAACTACTTTGTAAGATGATAATCTCTCAGGTGATTTTAATTTCATTTATTTGTTTATTTGACAGGAGGACAGTGCTCCTTAATTAACACTAAAGTCACTGTAAATGAGCCAGAGTTAGCTCAACAGGCTAATTTGCATCTGTTGTCCCTGGCCAGTTATTAAAAGGGCAACCTAAAATTAAATAACATGACATAATAGCAATATCCATCCATCCATCGTCAACCGCTTATCCTGCGTACCAGGAGCCAATCACAGCTGCCATCGGGCCAAAGACGCCCTGGACAGGTCGCCCGTGTTATAGATACAGAGTTGTAGTCAAATATTTACAACACTTATCAATAAGTAACAAACATCGTATTAGACAAAGCATAAGGAGAAAGAAGCTTGTTGGAGAGTTAGTTAATAGTGAATCCAGAACTTTACGCCAAATGTTCTGAGAGTTTACTGTGTTTCACCTGGACAGGATGTAGTTTTCTCGCCACGCTGCCGATGCCTTCCACAGTCGTCACGGCGACAAGGTGCAGGGAGCAGACGGGGGCGAGACAGGCGTTGACGGCGTAGTGACTGGACGGGGTAATTAAAGACTGTTAATCTGTTTACCAGCTGTGGAATCAGTTCGTCATCACAAAGTGCTTCAGAGAGCACGAGACTGCAGCTGAAACACACAACATCCATCCAGCAAGTGTCTTAGCGCGGAGTCACAAACGCACGTGGTTTAAGGATACAGCAGCTGCTGAGTGTGTGGTTGGTATCTGGACAGCATGACGGTACAGGCTCCACAGCCGCCCTCAGCGCAGCCCAGCTTAGTTCCTGTTAAACCCACTGAACACACAAACACAGTGAATTCACTCAGTCATTGACAGCGACGCATGATCTCTTCACCGTCCGCTCAGAAACACTCTCTGACCTCCAGACCGTTAAAGACTAAACTGGCTGTTACGACAGACACTATGTCCTCATTTAAAACAACACTGAGCTGGTGTCATCGTCTCCAGAGGACACCTGGAAGACATTGTCCTCTCCTCACCTAGGAATCAATATCATCTCTTAGTGCCAGCCAATCAGGGAGCAGGAATTTCTGTTTCTGTGCTCAGTGTAGTCCTTGAGGAGGCTTTATGGTAATTAATGCCCTAAATTTGCTCTGAGCCTGAGCTGCTGTCAGAAGCGCCCTGCACTGCTGAGGCTGCCATTTCCACGTCTCACTACCTTCAGACGAACTAACAGATAAAGTCCACGTAGCGGCTCTTCTTCTTTTGTTTTGTCACATGTGTGTTTGCTTGTGTTTCTGTTTTTTAACCCTAATCCGAATCAGATTCCCCCGGCGGAAAAATAAAGATTGAATTCAATTGAATTGAGAGGTCCTGCAAATGTTTTGTAAATATCTTACAGATGTTCAGTTGGTCCTTTAAAAGGTCCGCGGGTCTATGAGAAAGTGCCAGAGGTTTTAAGGAGGCTCAAATAGTTATTGGAGCCCCAGCGGCCCTCCTCAAAAAGCCGCATCTCTAACCTCCTCAAGGACTCGCAGGACAAGAACTGCAACAGAAAACACCTGCCCCTAAAGAAGGGAAAGCCAGCATGCCAAGAGTCTGACATCAAAATAAAGTTAGATGTCTTTACAGCTGTTTACCGTTTCCACAATCTTTATTTTGAGCTGTTATCTCAGAGACGGTCACTGACCTCACAGTTGGCTGTTTTATGTGAACGTTGATCAACCAAACTCAATAATAAACATCAGCTGTAGCTTTTGGTTTGTATCCACCGCTGACCAGAAACTGAGAGCTGGTGTTACTTCTAAAAGAAATAACTTGTCCCTGTACTAATCACTTTTTTATTTAACGTGAACCTGTTTGGCTTTAGTGAGGAAATCTGACTACCAGTCAGTGCCGAAGTGAAAGTCTTGTGGCGTTAATGTGAAGTTGTGAAACGGGAAATGTGGTGGATGTCACAACCAAAATACTAAAGTGATGACTAAATCTCATAAAGTACAAGACAGAAGTTCTGCACATGACACAATATCCCTCTCTATATTTTTATGTGTGTGGGTGTGTCAGCCTACGTTTCCTCCTCAGATACACCAGCAGGGTCATCTCAGGATCTGCGTTTCTCTCAACAATCTGCAGCACAGAAAATAGTAAATATTTTATTAATAACAAGATCCAAGAGAAGTTAATTAGATTATCGCATACTGGAAGCTGGAATAAATCCTGCAGGTGTGAGTGTCCTCAGCGACAGCTACCTTTAATTAATTCATCGTTGTGCGAGTCATAAGTTGGTCTGAAGTCTTTTCTATGAGGCTCCAATTCAGTAACAAAAGAAAAAGACGCCTTGTTTATTTAATCCAGAGACAGAATGAGAGGAAATTATCATCTCTACGTGGACACCTGGACCTAAGGACAGTTTATTTAATCCAGGTTTAAAGTTAATCCTCAACAGAACCTGGCCTGCTAAAGGAACAATACAAGATGATTAATTATATTAAATCTTTACAAACTCACCAAAAAAACATGGACTATATATGAAACTGATCAGATCAGCCGACAGACAAACAAAGAAATGGAAGTTAAACTCAGCCTTTAAATTTACGTTGCTTTGACTAATTCTTACTATAATGTGTGTACTAAAAATAATAAGTTTGTAAAAACATTTTTATGTCAAGACAACGTAACATTTTTGTGTCCAGCATAACACAGCAACACATGTTGTAATTATGTGTTTTTGTTACGTTAAATGAACACAAATCTTTAATTTTATTGAACAGAAAGTAACTACTTGTCATATGAACACAAAAAAATTTAGTACAAATTTTTACAACTATTTTTTCTGTTAATTCAACTTTCAAAATATATTTGCACAAGTTAATTGGCCTTAAACTAATTAGGCTATATCTTTAAATATTTTAGTAAGACTAACTCCAAAATGAAAAATTGTTGACTTAACACAAAAAAATTATGTCAACCTTACAAGGGATGACTTTTTATGTCAAGTGAACATGTGAAGTTTGTGTAGACTTAACATTACAATTTTACTTCAAAAACGGGTTTGGGGTTTACAGTGAGAGATGAAACTGATCCAGATTAATCAGTAATGGTAACAAGTGGAAACCCAAACATTATATCATCTATCTACAGGCAACAAGAAAGCATTCAGAGTATATGTAAAAGTGTTATTTTAATAATAATTATTATTATTACTTTTATGGGCTTCTTTAACATCTTGTCTTTGTCTTTATTGCCTCCAGAAACTTTTGTTCTCCTGCAGACAGGATTTACCAACATGAGGAGTCTCAGTATGAGTCAGGCCGCAACACAACAGCTTCATGGCTGGTTGCCAAAACTGCTGAAGTTCATTAATAAGGAGCATTTCTGTCTGTCAACCCAACCGGTCGAGGCAGTCGGCCCGGTCACTGTTTCCACCTGTGAGCCAGCGGGCCGCTGTCGCCAGTTGAAACTCGCTCATGATGGAAATGTTCATCTCTGTAAATCATTTTACAAAGAAAGAGCAGCCCGCTCTGTGTGTAAAGGGCAAAGACACAACTGCTGTTGACTCTAAGATAAATAACACAAACTGTTTCTGACTGTAAAACGGACACGTGAGAATCGCAGGAACTCCGGTTAACATTTAGATCATTTAAAGTGCACGAGACATATCTTTACCTTCTTCCCGTTTACAAAGAAGACCAGTTCGTCAGACCCGGACCCGGAGCCGGAGCCGGTGTCGGCCGTGGTCCCGCTCAGCTCCCGCATCTTGTCGCCCCTCTGCATGGTGTCCGACCAGCTGATGAATGATCCGGGCTGAGCCCCCTGCGCAGAGAGGCGTGTCCTGCGCGAGGGCGTAGAGCCAGGTAGGCACGGTCGGGACATGTCTCTGCAGACTGTCCGCTAAAGAGCCACAGAACTACACAAACCGGAAGGCGGAATTGGAGTCTGTCAACTGCGACCGAGGAGCGACCAGACATTTGGAGAAGGAAGTCATAATAATACGAGAGAAAACGATGTGACACTCGGAGAATAGAAACATGATCGGCTGCAGTGTCTTTCCTCCGGGTCTCTGCTGTCCCCCTTTCAGAGACACCTTTCCTCTGTCGGACTGTCCCTCTGCTGCAGGAAGCTGCACTTCATCAGAGCTGCTGAAGTTAACTGTGTATATATTCATAAGACTTTATTCCCCACATGTCACCGAGACTCTGAACATGAGCAGAAAACCTGCAGCAGCAGAGGAAACAACACCTGCAGCAGCAGAAGAAACAACATGAGCAGAAAACCTGCAGCAGAGGAAACAACATGAGCAGAAAACCTGCAGCAGAGGAAACAACATGAGCAGAAAACCTGCAGCAGAGGAAACAACATGAGCAGAAAACCTGCAGCAGCAGAGGAAACAACATGAGCAGAAAACCTGCTGCAGAGGAAACAACATGAGCAGAAAACCTGCAGCAGAGGAAACAACATGAGCAGAAAACCTGCCGCAGAGGAAACAACATGGGCAGAAAACCTGCAGCAGCAGAAGAAACAACATGAGCAGAAAACCTGCAGCAGAGGAAACAACATGAGCAGAAAACCTGCAGCAGAGGAAACAACATGAGCAGAAAACCTGCAGCAGAGGAAACAACATTTCTAACTGAGGTGAAACAGGCACCTTTAAAAACCTTACTTTTCCAAACAAAGACTCAGTTTATTAATCTGTTCATGTAAATCTGAAGTTTGCTTTTATCTCGTCCTGAATGAGCTGGTTGGTTGTGCACTTGTCTTTTAGGGGGACTGATCTGCAGGAACAGACGTGACCTTTGACCCCAGATAAAACTCAGGGATCACGCAACTCTTCAGGCTAATTATTCACAGCTGGAGGTCAAAGGTCATCAAATGCACCTCCAGCTGTTCAGTAATATCAACAAGAGGGAGAAGAAAAAGGTAAAGGCAGTATAATATTAACGGTAAATAAATACTATAAAAATGTTACATGTTAATAAAATACTAATAATCTATTAATTTAATTAGAAATGATAAATGTGACAGTAATCATAATTAATATAACTTAAATGTACTAAAACATTTTTATAGTTAAAATAATGATTTAAATGGATGGACAGTAAGTAACAATAATAAAATAAGCAGTGTCTTAGCTTCTGAACAGACACACAGAATTCTTATTATTCTTTTTATTACAGCATCAAATAACCACTGAAAACCAAACACCTGAACAAACACGATGGCGTTTCACCCGTTTCATAATATTGGCTCTCAGATGCTTAAAGCCGGCCTATCCACTAACATGAAGGGGGTTTACGACTGCAGCCGGCCACCAGGGGGCGATCAGCCGTCTTTTTTTACCTTTATTTATGCACACGCACAACAACAAACAACATTTAACTCTTCAGACACACAAACACAAGTAAAATTTGTACACACCGTAGGTTTAAAGGATTTAATTATTTTTAAAAGCAGTGACAACAATTTATAGCATCTATTTCTTTCATCCGATGTTTAAATTCACCAAACGAGATCAGATTTCTTAACTACTGCATCAGTCTGCAGTGTGTTGCAGGAGGACGGAGCAGCGTAACGGCCTTCTTACCGCTACGGTAGACAGCATCCAGCAAAGATAAACATCGCTCAGGCGCATTTCTGTACTGCAGGTCACCGTAATCGAGCTGCAGCAACCAACGAAAAACAAACAGGATCCCAAAGAAAGTTGGAATTAATACAAATATCAATAACAAATATCTACATGTAAACATTAGAAGGTTAAACAGTATAAATATAAAACATATAAACAAACTAGGAAGCTAGCTATGTAGCAGCTAACTAAGCTAACGCTCCCTGGCTAGCTCGATAACTGCGCCTACCGTTTATTTTACAGCAGTCTCGCATTATTTTAGGAATATGTCAAAATAAGCCCAATGATGCACCATTAAACACACAGATTACTGAAGAAAATAGTCATCCATTTCAAGCAGTTCTCACGCCACACCTCGTGTTTCCCAGGCTGAGAAGATAACGCCCACCAGGTCGTCACGCTGAGGCGCAGAGTTAAAAACCAGCCAATTAAAATGCGTTGTTTCCGGGTAAATCCCGTGATCTCGCCGCAAGCACGTTTGATTTCACGGCTGAACGCAGCACCTTTAGGGGCCCCGTCTTTTCTCTTAGCATTGTGATTTTTACGAGTTCTGGATGAGGTCACTTCGAATATATCGTGATGGCCGATGTCGGGAAATCGGCTAAAGGCAAATTCTTGCTAAATTATTACTGACGGAGTCAAAAACTCTCCAACTGGTGTACAAAGTATTCAGATCCTCTACTTGGGCCAAAGTAAAATTCACTACTAATACCTCACTGTAAAAATACTCTCTTACAAGAAAAAGTACTGCACTGACAATGTAACTTGAGTAAAAGTATGTAGCATAAGTAAAATCAGGAAAAAGTACATCATGAGATTATTAATAAGCAGGCGTGTTGAACTATTTTGTATCGGTCTTAAAATGACTTGACAAAAAAGTTGCCAGTTAATTTTTGTGTGTTAACTAAGGTACAATATTTTTGTCACAAGACATCTGATTTTAAAAATCGTGTGTTTTGTGTGTAAAAATGTGACTTTGTAAAGAACCTAAAGCTGTGAGATAAATGCAGTGAAAATAAAAGAGCACAGTTTTTCCCTCTGAGATGTGGCAGCGAAGTCGAAAGTGGCACAAAGAAAATACTCAGGTAAAGTACAAACAGTTGTACACTGAGCCGTTCAGTGGGCCCCTCAGGGGCCACAGCTCTTTTTATTATGATACACTTGAACAGATTTACCAATTGTTTTCTGTTTGTACGGGTCAATTATGAACAATTTAACTGCTAGCAAAGACTTGAGGCCTTGTTTGGGGCCGAGGGGCCGCTGCTGCAGATATTTGAGTCTCTTCTCCTAACAGATTTCTCCTCACTCCAGACTTCTGATCAAACTCGAGAGCTACATTACAACTAAAAACTTATCTTAAGTTCACCGCTGACCTTCGACCACCAAATTTTAATCTTCATGGTTTTGAGTCCAAGTGGACGTTTGTTAGAATTTAGAAGAAGTTCCCTCGAGGCGTTCCTGAGATGCCACGCTCGCGCCAACGGGACAGACGGTTAAAGTCCAGCCACGCTCTGCGGTTAGTAAATATATCTGGTGTTCAACAGTTTTACAGGGGAACAAGCAGAGACTGCATTTTAAATAACTCCGAGTACGTAAGAAACATTTTTGTCCACCCTAAAAGGCGGCCGGGCGCTCAGAGAGGAGACAGAAGTGTAGCCAATGAGAGCAGAGCTGCACCAAACAGAAGATTTCAAGGCTCAAATCTGGACGACAACTGTGAATAAAAACAGCAGATTTTCTGTCTTTTTGTGGTTAATTGGCAGAATCTATTTCCTGTTAGCGTGGGGAAGAGAGTTTTCTCTCCTCGCATGGATTTCTTCACGCACGACTATCGAGTCATCACTTTATCTATGACATTGACCAAAGACACATTTTTAAGGACCGTCAGCAAAACGGGACATTTTAGTTTTTCCTTCAAAGGTCGAGTTAATTTCTGTTTAAGGTGTGAATCGTCAGGAGCCAAACCATGAAACTGTGAGAACATAAAACTACCAGCTGACGACCTGATAGAGTTCATCATTAGTCACACAGTGAGCAGCTGATCTGAAGCGCGAAACGCTTTAAATCACCTGAACATGCTTTAGTCACTCTGTGTGATTTAATCTTCTTAGATTCTGAATGGAGTCTGGTTAGAGATGGACTTTGCTGATAACCTGAAACTAAACATCTTTAAATCATAAAGAAAGTTTCTATTATAATTTTCTAAGTGTATAAATGTTCTAAACTTCTTTCTAAAAATCCTGCAAAAGTTTACTAGAACATTTAAAAATAACATATTTAACCATTTATTGTCCTTTTAATCGTATTTAAATTTCCACTTTGCTAGACGCTTATTTTGGAAACTTTCTCAGAACCAAAGGGAACAAAAAGGGAACATAGAAGTTGATGATGTTTCGTAGTTTACAGATGAATATTATTAATTAATTATGAGTTTCAGGAATGTTTTTAAGATTGTTGAACAATAAAGTTTTCATAATTTTGAAATCAATATTTTAGGGACTGAAAGTTTGACACTAAATAACGCACAGAAACATTTGAACGTAACGCTGTCGTAACCAAACGAGAACGTTCAGGGAGTTTTCTCGGCTGGGGTGCGTTCGTGTGCTGCTGGGAAATCTCAACTTTGAGGACTTCGAAGCTGTTGACAGCTGTTTGAAGTGGACGTAAAAGACAAAGTAAAACAAGCTTTACAGAAACTCAGGAGCGTAAAGGACCATTTCACTTTAATTCATTTCTAATGTTACATTGATTTCATACAGAAAACATTTGTCAGTTTAAACCACGTAAACAAACCACAGCGACAGTAAACATTTATTTCACATGGATTGTCTGAATCCAAACGTAAAAAGTTCTTTAATGTCTCAGAAACAACTGAAATCTGACAAAAGATGAAACAGAAGTTTGGCTGCAGCGCCAGCTGCTCAGGTTCTTGTTTTTAATGTTGTTCTTCTTTAAGTTTCCATCACAGTTTGTACGAGTCGTTCTCAACAGGAAGCCTCCACCGTCTGCTGATGTTTGATTGTGAATCCAGACGAGGTCAAAATGATCTGTAGGGCCGATTCTGTGCTTCGATGGGCGGAGCCTGATTCAACAGTCGAATCTTTGTAGCGGCGTTATGAAAGTAGCGTCATATCATTTTGGCGATGTGGGGGTGCGTCTCATTTTACACAGAACTACCAGTTGGCTCCCAATAAGTTAACGTAGCCTATTATAATATACAATTCAACACATCCAGCTGTAAATAAAATGTGGAAAGAAAGAAGCTTTTAATAAATCTTTTTAAAGAGCGAGAATGAATCCTAACCTTTAAAGAAGGGGGCGTCGGTGCGCTTCAGCGGGTGTGTTGGCAGACGAGGAAGAGACACCATCAGCTTCACCGGTGTTGTGCTGAGTTGTCTGCACCTCGCGGGACGTTCACATCATTTATCACCATTAATGAACAACACAAATATTAAGGCTGCAACTAACGATTATTTTCATTATCGACTAATCTGCCGACTGTTTTCACGATTAATCGACTCATCGTTTAGTCTGTAAAATGTCAAGAAATTACAGTTTTCCAGAGGCCAAAGTGACGTCTTCAAATTGCTTCTTTTGTCCAACTAACAGTCCAAAACCCAAAGACTCTTCATTTACTGTCATAAATGACAAAGAATAGAAGCAAATCCTCAAATTTAAGAGGATTAAACAAGCAATTTCCCACATTTTTGCTTAAAAAATACCTAAAACGATTAATCGATTATATAAATAGTTTAAACAGGTAACTGTTTAAAAACAATATAATATTAGTTAGAGCTGCAACGATTAGTCGATTAATCGAGCGCAAGAAAATGAATCGACAAACTCTCCGTGGTCGATGCATTTGTAGCGTGGGAAAAGACATTTCTGTTGGTTTTTCAGCTGCTCTTCTAGATTTTAAAAAGGTTTTTGTGAATCCAAATGTACATTTATAAAAAAAAGAAAAAAACTTCACAAAAGAGAAACAAAGTCAAAAAATCTTCAGATCGACAGCGAAACCGTCGTCCCCTGAAACAGAACGCGTTGAATTCGATGTCAGAAGAAGACGTTTGGAGCACCGTTAGTTCCTCTCCTGGTTGGCGTCCTGATGTTAACTCACGTCACTGATCCTCCTACGAAGCCTCCACCAGGTGAAAGCCTCCGTTCTCCTCTATCAGCTTCTCTCTCTTCCTGGCCTGAACCAGACTGTAGACCACAGCTCCCAGAGTGTTCCTGTTCAGACCGAAGCCCCGCCCACCGCCACGCTCCATGAAACTGGAAGGTTCCTCGCGACTGCTCATGAAAAACGTTCGAACCTGA